GTTTCTACGCAATTAGTATCCTCGTAACACCAAACTATCATAGTAAAATCTACGAAATTCTGAAGATTCTAGTGGGAAAAAATTATTATATCTTGAAAAGACCGGGCCTTAATGATGTCGAAAGCCGAATTATTTGATGTCCAATCTTAAATCTTCAGCCAACAAACACTTTTCTTTTCTTTTCTTGCGTGAACATGAACGTTGATGGTAATTTAAGTGCAATCTCAAAATCTTCGGTAAGACGTGACTGTGAAATATGTAAATTTAGACTAGTAAAAAATTTATTGGCATAAATAACGATAAAACGTGATTGTGGATTGGGTGTAAGTCTGTGCGTTGATCTGAATTCGGGGCGATAGTGTCGAGTGACTGTCAGCGGAATTTATTAGATAATGTACAAAGAATGAATATACATGCCCGAATACCGTTAGTTGTTAAACTGCCTGGAGTGAAGTCCGTCAACTAGTGAAATACGGAAACAACAGGCAACACTTGTATATTATTCCTTGAACTTTTGTTCCAAAACAATTCTATCGCATTATGTATTTTCATTGTTTTATCATTTTCGGTGAAAAATCAAGGAACCAACCGGAAGTTCATTATTTACTGTTGGCTAGTTTAATTCTCCTGTACATATGTTTCATGAACTGAATATTTCCTACGATATGTGCTTTAAACAGATCATGAGGGAAATTGTAGAGAGAGTTATATCGCACGTGTACAATTTCGTTCGAGTAACACAAAATGATGTCAAATACAAGATTATAGACACATGAGATCTTATTGTTTGTTTATTATTTGGGTAATGTATGGAGTTGGCTCTGTGGTGGTTAATTATTCATCGATTTTAGGGAGGCTAAAAAAAGAGTGGCGTTGAGGGATAAAGTGAACATGAGCGTGACGACAAATGTAGGAAGCTGCACATTTTGGAGGTCTAGAGCGACGGGAAAACCAAGGGGTAGAAAGAGAGGAGGCCAAGGGGGTTGACACACATGCTTCGATATTGTGTTGGTGTACATTGGGTGAAGAATTTTGACAATGATGGATGACTGCATCATGCGTGTGAGTCAAGCCCAGGCGATGCCACCATCCAACCTCATATGTGGCCTTCGTACCCACGACCGCATCGCCCGAACTGTTGCTATCGCTGTGGCGACGCAGCATTTCATTCTCCGAAATATCACCTAGACGAATTCAGTAGTCAAGTTATAAACTAGGATAACTCGGACAGGTATTTTTTGGAACGTCTGGTTTAGGCTGCAGCAAAAAATCCATCATTTT